GCTTCATGAAGACGTCTGTTCACCTTCTGGTTATATCTTTCATCAAACTTTGCTGATCGCCTTGGTTTTCAGCGCTTATCTCCGATTATTCGGTCTACAATGATCTCGTCGAGGCGGAGGGTGAGCGGTGTCAGAAGGATCAAGAATGGTTAGTGTATAGGGGATCCGGCATAACGACCCCTCTCCCAGCTGGAAGTCCCACGATTGATCTTCGTCCCTATCTACTCCTATGTTCCTATCAGCCCTGAAACTAAATCCGACAACATGCAAATGTGTCCGTCAGGCCGAGTTTGCAGCAGTTTGTACTATAATAAAATAGATGAAACAGCGGAAATTTCAAAAATGCGTAAATTCCATGAAAGTTGATACCTCATTTAATTTCCATCCAATCCTAAGATTGGGCTCAACACAACTTCTCACCTCTTACAATATCATTTGTAACTCTTTATAAGAGAAAATTCGCCATAGGGGCACTTTTGGTTGCATACAAATGATGATCAAATCAGAATCAAATCTGAGTGATTAAATAAACATACCTCTTCAGATACGGCGTGAGAACGGAAAGCTGTGTTACAGTTTGAAAACCGGTGTTCCAGCCCTTTTATCTCGAAAAGTTTTTCATTTCGATACCCAGCAATGCTTAACAAATCCGATACACCGTTTTCATTTCAGAAAGATTTCCCCTTTTCAAAACAGGATCCACGTGAAGTTGTGGTCAAAACTTTCGATGCATTATCGAATTCACTTCATTGATCAAATCTCAGCCCATACAGAGAAGGGACCTATCAGATCCCTTTCGATAAATGGCAATCGAGTGTTTATGCCGGCTAAGTGGCGCTGGCGCGTTGTGCATATGTGGTGTACAGAAAGGAAATTACCTGGTTAAAGGAAGCGATTACGATAAAGAGGAGCGCATCGGGGAAGCATATGCACCACACGAAGCAGTTACTTGGCTGCCAGGAAGCGAGGTGTGGCGCTTTCACGACGAAAGGTGCGCTGGTTGCTGAGCAGGACTTCGACTCCGCCCCCAAAAGCGATCCGCCCACTAGTTTACTTGTTGATTTGGACGAGCTGCGTGGCCAGCAGCGGCGCAAATGGAGCATCTCGATTGGGCGTGATTTGGCATGGTGCCATCAAACGCGTTGCGGTGAACTCGTTCATACGTCCACTTTCTGAGCTGTTACCTGTTCATGAGTGAAAACCAACGGCCAAAAAAGGGGTCCCGTTTTGCGTTTTCTTGACGGATTTCTCTGCTTTTTCGCCACTGGCGTACCATTGAGCACCACCACGTCACACTAAACCCTTCTTGAATTTATCGTAATCGCTGCCTTTAAGTCACGTTTTCTGACTCTTGAGGGAGCGGTGGGTTGTAAAATTTCTGTAATTCTTCCCAATGTCGCGGTTGACCCAGGTGATAGATGCATCACCTGCGTTACCGAGCCTGAAAAGCAGTTCATTTATACTATAATGGTCCAAGCATAATGGGCAAGGCATATAATGGCGATGATCAATCGCCTACAATATGCTTGAGGAGTTCTACTCCTTTCAGGATGGTAATGGCATGCGATATGGCACATACAACGAAAGGCAAGGACCGCTAACCTACATGTATTACTATTTTTTGGATAATGCGCTGCCAACTAGCTCCCCCTGCATGGGCGGGGCTTGGCTGGCATGGAGGAATTGGATCAGTGTTTATTTTCAGCCAGGCGTTCAAATCAAGGAACTACATATTTTTCAAGTAGACTGTTGCCAAACATAAGACTTCAATCGAAGTAAGGCTCAATAAATCTGTGCTATGCCTGGATTCCACCTGGCGGACGATGTGGGTGGTCCACGACGATACCATTGAATGCCCCGCAGTTGCATACACAGGAGAAATGATGTATGCAAGGAGAAAAACACCGGAAAAAGTAGCAGAAGAAATAACCGAGCTGCGAAATTGCTCTGCTCTTGCAGTGTGAAGATATACGATATTGTGCAGCCATGTCCCTCCAGGCACCCTTGGCACGGCACTTGACTGGCCCACCTTCCAAAACCTGAGCTTCGTTGTTCAGGCAAGCTGTCTACGAGGGTAAACTTGGCTCCGAATTCGCGATCACAAGGTGGGTCGACCTCATCAATACGTTCACTGGCAGCGGGAAATGCACGGCGCTAGCGCTACAAGAGTCTGCACTCTGACCTTCTACCGATGCTATCAATTCTTCTACATGATGCAATTCTTAGCATGCAATATGATCGTGATTATCGTTCTCAGAGTCGCTACGCCCAGTGGTTACGAACTCAGGTAGGCTCAGCTCAAAGTGAGGTTTCCCGAGAGGGAGGATTCTGAAAGAGTGTGTCAGGAGATGAAAGGGTTAGCGACACCAATGTGACTAGTAATAAGCCTAAAGGTCTCTAGGGACCCTCCAGGAAGCGGCGATGTTTCGAACGTAAAACGTTACGGTTGACCCTGGTTACAATTTCAAATTTTTCAACGATTCTGTTTGCTTAAGTGATTTTCGCGCTAAGGGTTGACCATGTGGTGCTCTGACAGATCCACGAGCCCTTCCTACTCACAACGTGTGTCTTTATATAACCTACTTTTCTGCTTCAAAAACCATTCTCACCATAATTGCTACTTCAATATGTATTACTTGATTCTAAAACCAGTCGACACGTTTTAGCTCTTGTCGCCGGAATTTCCAATAATCCCATCTAGCGCTACTCCTCAACCTCCACAAATACCTGCTTTCAACCTTTTTGACACTCGCTTACCCCAAATGTGGCCCTTCCAAGAACTCTAATGCGATCTCTTACTTGTGAACTGCGTAACGCGCGGTTGACGCTGACGATTATTTAGTGTTGGTGACTAACCATAACCAGAGTGCTAGGCGTTCTGGACACGCGCTTAGTGTTCTTACAGAAAATCAGATCACCTGGAGCAAAAATATTGCTTAATCTAGGTCTTGTCCAAACATTTGAGAGTGGAGCAGTAGACATCAGATACAATATGCTTCTAGTTTTTTGCAAAATCGATAAATTTCAACGCATTAAAGGCAAACCCCGGGATTAGCCCGACTAGTAGGAAGGATACCACGAGGGAAATTGTAAGGTCCGTACCTACCTAGATCACTCCAGCTTCGTCGCAAAATTGCGCGGTTAGGGCGCTAATCCTTACGGGCCTGCAACCATCGACCCCGATTCCACCGCTGAAGGTTATGGCCTTAGTTTTTCTCAGTGACTTCTCTTGCTTTCCTTCTCACTTTCAGGTCGTTCCGCAGCTAAGCTATCACCAAGAAGCGCTAGTAGCATAAGTTATTGCCGGGGTTTGCGTTTGATCTGCCGAAATCCGCCACTTCGCCCTATCTTGCGCCAAATAGCTCAGAAAGAGTGGAATAAGAAACCAATGGGTAGCATTGTTTATAGGTGATCCGAAAATGTAGCATACCTACATATTTAGCTGAGTTACCTCTATCATGGAGTATTTTGCAGATTGAGTCTTCAAATACCTGAGGTACTACGATGTGGATACGGTGCAGTCGTAAACGTCCCATTTGAAATTCCGTTGCATGCATCACTGCATGCATTACCAAAATTTATTCTATTCATAGGGCGGAAGTGGTGTAGTGGCAAGTGGCACGCTTACCACGCGAGCGGTCCGGGGATCAAATCCTGGGTCGTGAGTCGCCCGGGCCAACCAAGCCTTCCATCCCTCCGGGTCGGTTAATTGGTACCAGACTTGTCTGGGAGGATAAAAACACTGACTTGAACATCGGCTGGCCCCCGCAAGTCATTGTATAGGCCACATCGCATTCAAACGCCACTACGAATTACAAATGGAATGTGG